GTCGTTGAAACGGATTGTGAAACAGTGTCCGGGATCAACGGCTGCTTGTTAGGCGAATGATACTGAAAACACGCTCGTTCAACCCACTTATCAAATCTGATGGCCTGCTCGGGTGGAGATGCACGGTGTTCGACCTTTGTCCAGGTACCATTGAGAAGAACCCATGTGGATCTCAATACATCTGGCGGCACAATCAGGCCAGGCGGCCTAGGACGATAAAACACCGGTTGCTTGACGACAAAAATGGGATCCATACCTGGCAAGTATTGTAGCTTCTCTTTACTAGTCAAACCCTTCCTATACACTTCTTTTGGCAAAATAGGGGTTTCCGTATATGGGAAGTTTGGGATATCCTCGGTTTTGGATTGGAAAACTTGTCGAGTAGTCATATCGACATCGGTGCTTGGCTGCAACATGTCTAAGACTTCTTTACTCTGCAAGTCCTGAGGTTCCAACAAGTTGATTAGCATACAAGCTTTCTTCCAGGCCATGGGATTCTTGAATCCTTTAGTATGGATATCGGCTGCCATTTTGGCTGTAATTTCATAGATCAATACAAAATGATCCTTTTGGAAATGTTCATGCATGGAGGCAATGGAAATACCATGTGTGCGCTCCAAATGACGCATGGTTGGATTCCGTCCTGATCTGACAACACCAATCATACCTTGATTATCGTCATGAAACAGGAGTTGAGGAAAAACTTTGGCTAAGACTTTCCACAGACTTAATGCGGGGATTCCTAGAGTCCTAAGTGCAGTATCTGCTGCCACAATTTCAGCTTCGGGGGTAGAATGACTAACACACCCTTGTCGCTTACTTCCACCAGCAAGTGGGAATCTTGTGAACTTACCTTGGACTTGTAAGTGCGATCCTGAAGTTGATCTCAAGGATTGGGCACATCCAGCGAAATCCGCATCTGCAAATAGTCCTAATGATATTCAATTTTGTCTCCGACCCATCCTATCATTTTGAGGGACAATGTGGAATTAACATAACACATTAGGTGATGAAGACGGGCGTCATCATCCTTCGTCCATTTAGTCACATTACGTGCTAATGCATTGATGGATCTCAACAGGTCAAACCGCGCAATGCGGGCTGCATAAAGCAGCTTCATAAGCACACTAGCTGCATGCGGAGCTAGATTCCCACGGCTCAGCGTCTCACTGTCTTGGCCAGGACGTGAGTTGCCAGTCTCAGAGAGAGCAGGCATATCTGGATCGAAGGAATGTGCACACCAAGGACATTCAACTTTGCATTTTCCATCGGAAGGAGCTCGATACGGGCTGCTTTTCGTTTCCTCTGGAAGGCTCGGCGTTGATACCTTTTTCAATTTTGTGTCCTTGCCAATGATGTCAAGATACTTTTCCACCGATAACTTTAACAATCCTTCCATGTTATAAGTTATGGTCTTGACTTTCTTACCGTTATGCAATTGGGTCTCACCTTGGGATAAAACACATCCTAAGTAAAGTCCCAGATCGGTTTCGGGTTCAATGCGCAGAACAGTGCGCAGCATATCCCAACCTTTGGCCAGATTTTCGGAGGGCCCAGCAAGCTTAAGGTCATCCACATAGATTACCAACAGCAATTTGAGCTCATCATGAAAATACATAGAAGGCCATTCCTCACCAATGGGCTTAAAACCAATTTCTTGAACTTTCTTGTCACAATGTTGTTCCCACATCGTGCCTGAATCAGGGTGTCCGTACAGGGCTTTGTCGAGTCTTACGACAGGGCGACGGAACTTCCAATACTGTATCTCCGGCGGCCATGCATCAGTGGGTAACTCCACCCAACACAAAGGTCCCTTCAACTTAGCCTGGATGTAAGCCTGAATCGCATCTGCCAACTTGACGGAGTGCCCAGGAAGACAACCGAAAAAATCTGCCCATCGTGAGGCTTCAAAGGAAGCAGGGGAATTTCCCAAGTCTTGGAAGAATGCTGCCTCCCAATGCTGATTCTTCACCTGATTTCCTAGCAGAACGCCTCTTCCCTTGAATTTTCGTCCAGGATTGTCTTCTGACAGCTGGTAGTTCTTCTCCACGCATATGCCATGGACCCTGGCCATGTGTACTTCCTTATTGTTCTTCTTGGCCTCTGCAACAACATCGTCGTATTCACGAACCATTGTAAAGTCAAATACCTCTTGATCACGAAGGCCTTTCCACTCCTTGAGCATTGCCTCTTTGGCCTTTGGGTTAGACTCAATCTCGGCTCTACCCACAGGTCGTGAAACCATTGCATTGAAAAGTTTGCTTCCAAGACCTTCTGATGATATCTTGGTTCGGTGACTTTGATTTGATGCAGAAGTACACGGCATAGTTGGGAAAGGAATGTATTCATCATCATCAGTGGCTATGTTCTTCACGCTCTTGACGTTCACACATTTGCCATTTTTGATCATTGTCGACTCTCCTGGCGTAGCCATGGAAAACCTCGAAATCTCACCTGACAATGTGCTCCAAACTTCACCACTCCACGATGCTTTTGGGCCACGTCCTTTCTCGACCTCCGACCATTCATCCCATTCAGTGAGATATTCCTCGTCGTCCGGGACGTCAGTAGAAGCATCGGAACATGGACTAGCATCAGCATTCCTCTTCACTTTTCGACAATCAATATATCGTCTTCCATGTACATCGTCATCATCGACTATGTCGTATAGATCAAGATAAGTACTTGTACATGTGATAGGTAAGGTAATTTTGTTCTTCACAACTTCACCAACACCTGCATCGGATTTCTTTGACTTTGAATGAGAGTCATCCTTCTTACTTTCATCACCACCTTCATCGTCCTTGGACTTTGGCTCGTCCTTGTCTTTCTTTGAATCTTTCTTCTCCTTCTTCGTTGCCTTCTTCTTCTTTTCTTCGACCAATCTTTTGGCTTTGTCATCGGCCTCTTTCTTTTCCAACTTCTTCTTCTCGGCTTTGAGGATGGTATTCCGGTCAGATTGAGAGAGTTTGCGCCATTCTTCAGGAGAATAGGTTCCTTTGGGACGCAATGACGTCCTGAACATTCGTCTACCATCATCTCCAATCTTGTATGGGTAACCCTTGACGTTCAACTTGACCTTCTCACCATCGTCATTGAGGTATACCTTCCCATCTCCAGCCTTGCCCTTCTTCCAATGGTCTGGTTGGGCATCGATCAATTCCTGGAGAGTCATCTCTTCTGGATCTTTGTCTTTGTCGAAGATATCCTCAGGGTCATCAAGAGGCTTCTTTGAGACTTTTCCACCACTTGGTCCAGATCCACCGTCGTCTCCGTCATCAAGCTCATCATCATCTTCATCATGGTCATGTTCTTCGTCATCTCCATGAGGCACTTTGGAGGGATCGCCATCGAGGATTTCTCTTTCTTTCATCCCTTCCAATGTGGTGTTCACCCTCTCATATTCCTGCTTGCATGGAAATGTCAATGGAGTGACCATCTCGACCTTTTCAGTCAAATGAGGTTTGAGAAGACGGTGTTCAGGTTTGCTAGCATCATCCCCAAGATTTTGATGTACGAATTCACTCAGAGGCCATACTTTGTATTGTCTTGACCAATGCATCCCTGGACCAATGTGATACCCTGCAAACACTCCTGGAATAGAGTCAGGCCCGAACTTATGAAGTTGTCCTGCTTCTCTGGTCTTCGGAGGCTTGTAGTTCACACGAGCACCATAGGGAATGAGTTTGCCAGCAAATTCAGATCCATGGAGTTTGCACCAAGCGCTCAAATCATCATCGTTGGGTTCTACGTTGAGTAGATGACATACGCAAAGGATTGCCGTTCTCCAGAAACATGGTGGTAATCCAGCTTCCAAAAGGCATGTAGAAGTAGCTGTGAGAATAAATTGGTTCGTCCTTTCGGCAATCGAGTTGGTTTGAGGTCTTCCAGGCAACGAATGATCAATTGGTATCTTCATCTCATTCATGGCTTCAATGAATTGAGGAGCATGATCAGAGTAGACCTGTCTGACCTTCTTGGCGCCGATGAACTGTTTCACTGCTCTAACTACATCATCTTTGGTCATTCTGTCAGATGGATAAGCACCAATGATTCCTGTATAACAGTCTCTGACAACCAACACTTCCTTCTCGAGGACCAATACGTCATCATGGACTTTGGATGTGTCCACCGCATCGAAGGTAATGAGGTCGCCAAACTTCTTGAGTTCCCTTTTGTATGCACCACGACGAGTCTTGAAATGCTTCATCTTTGCTCGAATGCATGAATCGCAATATGGATTCTTGTATCTGTGGGTCAACTTGTGATTCAAGCTATTAGCTTCTCTCTTGAGTGTTCCTCTTTTGGCAACCCTAGATTCACCTTCAACAACATCGATCTCGATGTCATCTTCATCACCTTCAGCGGCATCTTCAGGAGCACCATGACCATCATCTTCAAAGTCAGTCTCGTCTCCAGGAGGTTCGTCAATCGGAGTTCCTGGTTCGTACTCGCCGCCCTCAGGTGGTTCTTCTTCTTCTTCTTCTCCTGGGGTTGCTGAATGTTTCTGCCGGTTCATTGCTCTTTTCTTCTTCTTCTTCACCTTGAGCTTCTTGACATATCGGGAACAGTTGTGATCCTCAGTTGATGTCTCAAGACCACTTTCTCCATCGAGATGTACTCTTCGTGAGGGTTGACCAACATCATCAATGTCGTTGAAATCATTGACTCCGATTTGAGGATGTATCAATATGTCATGGATCTTTGATGCATGATGACATTCATGAGGAGTGCATTCGTAAGTTCCAAGATCAACGTAGGGGATGTTGTCATGGATTGTCAAATCGATGCGTTCTCCATTCTTCGTAATCATGAAAGGCATTTGACCAGATGGCCATACAAAGGAATATCCTTCTTCCATGCATCGTTTCCCAAGAGACATCACGGACGGAGTGTCGTCCAGTACATAGGCATGAGAGGTCACATCAAAGGTTCCCAAGTCAATCTCCGCTTCTGTCTGAGTAGCAGTTGAACCGTTGGCAGTGTGGAACATGATAGGATCACAAGTTCGTTGCTTCAAGTTCATCCTCTCGGCCTTCCTTGCAGAAATCAGATCGTGTCCGCTGCCAGAATCCAGGATGAATCTACGATCTTTGGCTTGCACTGGTAGTGAAATGCACATTATGTTCTTGGACTTCATGAGGGAGTTTCCAACTTCGTGCTCAACAAGCTCTTCAATAAAAGTCAAGTCATCACGATCATTGTCCAGTTTGATCAACATGTCGAACTTGGGGCCAATAATGATTCTAACCTCATCAACAAAACGATGGAGTCCACATCTGTCCATGATGATAGCTTTGGCCCGTGCCCGGATTGAACCGAGGGCGTTGTCGGATTTGGACTGATCGTCGGTCAGATCATCGACCTTTCAGAAGACATACGGCTTGTTGGGGTCACGATACATACGCTTGGGTAATCCCTCCTGGTAGTTCTCAATGGCAATCTCGTGCACTTCAGGTTCCAGTTCAAAAGCGATCCTGCGATCATCAGAAGACTTCTTTGCGCTGGCTATCCTCGGTGAGGTATATTCCATAGAATCTTCATTGTCGCTATCAAAGAAGGAGTCAATGGTAATGGGAGTCGCCTTCTTCTTTGGTGTCTTCTTGCTGGTTCTTTCTGAAGATGCTGAAGGCGATTGATCTGCATGTAGGAATTTACATTTGCTTCCGAACGTGCAGGTACCCTTTTGCCAATTCCAACATACCTTCTTTTTGGGTCCAGCTGAAGATGAACTTCCTCTACTTTTCCCCCTTGATGAATCTCGACTTCCGCTTCTGCCTTTCTTACCTTTCATCTTGGCATCATAGACCTTCTGAGAATGACTGTAAAGACATTTGTCACCTTTGTTGCATCCTCCTTTATTGAAGAAGTAGTTACAGAAAATCTTCTTCTTGTCAACGAGTGAAGATGATCTTCCCTTCCCACCTTTGCCTTTCTTGTTGTTCTTGTCGGCATGGGATTTCGGAGAAGGTGTAGGAAGTACCGATGCAGCTTCACTCTTCGCTTTCGCCTTAGGACGTTTGGGAGGATCACCTGTAGACGATGCAGCCGCTTCATTCTCCCTTTTGGTCTTGACGGGAGCGGCAGGCTTATCTGCATCTTCTAAGGCAGGTGTCGTCTTGTTAGAGGACAATGACAGTTTCACTGCACGTTCTCTATCTTTCAACAGTCGTTCTTGCTTCCCTCGTGCTATGTATCCCTTGATCATACCAGTTAGGTAAGCATAGGTCTTCTCATGATGCCCTTCATCAAAGGTTTTGTATCGGTTGATATCGAAGGCCATAAGCTTTGAATGTTCAATCTTCCGGAACAATGTGTCACGCAGGGAATTGTTGGAAGGCAGATCATCATGTTTCATATTGTATACGATGTCAAGCCACTTGTTGTAGAAAGCCTCAAGTTGGTCATCTCCATAGTAGTTGGACATATACAAATGATGGGCATTGTAGAGAACTTCAGTGTGGTCAGGTGACTTGAAGCTAATCAATATCATTGCGAATAGTTCTCGTCCCTTGATGAAGTCCCCACTTCTCCCATACAATTGGTTCTTCATGGACATGTCATACTTCACTTGCATAGACTTGTCCCCAGCATTGTCAATGACTTTTCTCAAGGCATTGGAGAGCTTGGCATCAATGGATTGGAATCTCACATCAGGAGCTTTGGCCAGCGCCTCCAAGTCAGGTTGATCTGCAAGACACGGGGCTAACCACGCCTTCCAATCTTCATAATTTCGATCTCCACTTGCAACGCAAACTTCATGAACGACACTTCCCTTCCAGGATGAAAGTTCAGTGGTTTTAGGCCAGGGTTGGAGGCTGATCTTTTCGGCTTCCCTTAGAGATACAGATGACTTGGATCTATCCCTTTCAAGGTTCTCCAACTCCTTGACATTTGTGTTGTACTCGTTCCTGAGCTTCTCGAAGGCTTCAGCTTCTGCTCGGTATTCCTGCTCTTCATCATTGGCACGATCTTCAGCTTGAGAGAAATTGTTCTTATAGTAATCTTTACGATCTTCCATCTTCTTCAACTCATCTTGAAGATTTCGAACTTCAGCGTTCCTCTCTTGCTTCATCTCGTCCAACTCTGCTTTCAGTTTGGCACACTTCTCTTCACATTCATTCCGAGGCATGGCATTACTGGGGTACCCATGTAATGTAGTCGGTCTATTCATTGATGAAGAAGAATGAGCTTGGTTTTCCAACTTCAGGGCAGCAATGGTGCTCGACATCTCTTCTACCTCAGCGTAACGCTCATTGGCCAATTGATGCATCTCGGTCAAATGGCTTTCAGGAATGGAATAGTCAGTCGCACCTTTGATCACGAGTCTTCTGTCGTTCAACATCTTGATGGACTTACCTGCATCCCTGTGAGCACGCTCAAGAGAGTCCTTTTGGGCTTCAAGTTCAGTATGAAGGCGAGCAATAGCTGTGTCCCTGTCATTGATTTCATTGTGCAAACTGTCGAACAAGTTACTCGTCACATTCGGATTGTTGCTCATGTGATCGATCTTGTTCAGAGCATCTTGATATTTCTTACCAGTTTCATCAAAGTTTCGCTGGAAGACTTTGAGCAGGTCCTCAGTGTCAATGAGTTCAGATCTATTCTGCAAGTACAACTTGTCAACTTCGGCCTTGGATTCTTTCAAGCTGTCACGTTCACGCACGGCTTGCATGTACATCTCGTATAGAGGTCCTCCATGCGGTGATCTGCTTGGTGAAGATCTTCTGGCTTGTTGACAGGAAAGTTCATGATACTGATTCTTCGATTCAGTCAGTTGCTGTTGCATTCGATCTAAAAGACTTTGTTTCATGTGTAGTTCAGAACGTAGTCCCATTATCCTCATGTCCCGCATGCCACCTGATTCAGCTAGAGATTCTTCAGAAACCCTGTTCTCAGAAATCGCTAGTCGAGATTGTAAGTTCTCACTGTGGATCACCTGTAATCGAAGCTGTGATTCTTCCAAAGCTAAGTGATGTTCACATTCTGCATAACGGTCATGTTCAGATCTTATGTTACTACGGAACTCCTTCATGATCTCGTCCCTCTTCATGTCAGCAGCATCTAACTCAGTTTCCAGTCGCCTGACATTCATGGCCATGGTGTGCTTCATCGTCTGGTTCTGATTGGCAACCTCGAGCATCTCGATCTGCAAAGCACATGTTTGGTCATTAGCATAGCCGACTGCTAGAGCTTCTTGCTTGGCATTCATCTCTGCGTTTTCCAGTTCCAGTCTGAGTTGATTGATGTGAGCATTCGCGTCAGTTCCCACATGTACCATAATTGCGTTTGCTTGTCCCATTTGTTCATCGAATTCCGAACGTAGTCGTGAATATTTGAATTCCAAATGAGATGCAGCTTCATTCGACATAGTCTGATACCTTTCCAACTCTTCGATCCTGTAGGTCGCACCTTCATCTTCCTGTTGTGCAGCCTGTAACTCGAAGTTCAGCATCTGGAGTTGTTCGGTCATCGACATCATCTCTTGATGAGTGGTGCTTTCCAGGAAATTAAATTGTTGATAGGCATATGCTGTCGTCTCACTCAATCTTGCCTGAAGTACAGATTCTTCTTCAGTGGCCCTTTCCAGTGATGTTTTGTATTCAGCTAATTCACTCTGATAGGCAGTGAAGATGTCGCTACCACTTGACGGGGCGTTCACTTGTTGATAAGATCCTGTCCCTGATGGAGTAGCGTCCTGAATCGGTGAAGGCGGATTCGACGACGTAGTCTTTGCCTTAGTCCTTGGAGTCATCGGAGGCGACAATTGTCGTGCAGATGATCTTCTCTTTCCAGGTGTGCTGTCCCTATCTTCAATTGCTTGCATTGTCGAAATTTGTCTCCCTCTAGGAGCAACCAGATGTCGCCTGGGTTGGCTTGTTCTCAGTTCTGAGGCATCGCTTCCACCAGTGTCGATACTCTGTGAAGAATTTGACTGCGTGCCGGCAGCTGGTGCAACGGCATGTCCAGAGAAAGAAAATGCATTATCGCTGCTATCCTGTTCAGTCATCTGTAAGGCCCGCGGCTACCCGCTCGTAGGCTCCGTAGGAGTCCTACGGCTGATAACCTGCGAATCGGAGGTTGTCTCCCCGATTATGTTCTGGTACTTGATTCTGAAATGGGTGTTTCAGTGGTGACGTCACACGGGTAGCGGCTTCGGCATTGCGATTCTTTGTTCCGGTTCCTGCAGTGGTCTTGAGCCAAAGGGTCGATTTGATGTACCCCTTGGCTGTGGATCTTTGAGGGCTGAATTATGTGGTAGTGTACAATGGTCCGTAGCCTACTCTCTATTCGCATATATATATATATATATACGTATATATATATATGGCTCTGCGGGCATTTCGCCCTCCCATGATTTGCAAGTTTTAGATATCAGGTACTGATATATATATATATGATATAACCATAGTTATATTCATAATTGGATATATATATATATACATTTTCATACGGACCCATATCCCAATTTATGGGATTAGAATCCCATAGTTATACCGTATTTTTCTCACCAGGAGTGCACCCAAGTGCCATGGATAACATGTTTTTTGATGGGAATGTCTATGAATCATCTGGGGTTGGTAAATGGAATTTAAGACTGGGATGATATGGTGATATAATCATAAATAACAAACAAAGGGATGGTTCAAGAATCATGGGTTTACCTCAAAGTCATGGAGATATGCAATGCTGGATTAAACCAACAATTGTTTGGTGATGTTATGTGTATCTATGTTAAGTATTGAACAGGATTCAAAACGTCTGTCATTCCATGAAATACTGGTCAGCTACAACATTATCATTTTCTTTTCATCCCCAATAGAGGATAGTATACCCGCTGAACCGATCATCAACCATCTATCAACAAAAAATATCCATATCTATCAACTATATCCCCATATATTCCCATATATTCCCATATATTCCCATATATTCCCATATATTCCCATATATTCCCATATATTCCCATATATTCCCATATATTCCCATATATTCCCATATATTCCCATGTATTCCCATATATTCCCATAATTCATAGTTAACCCATAGTAAAAAACCCATAAACAGCCCATTAAATTTTCATCATCCTCCAACTCGCGTCGTGTGTTTTTTTCCATGCCTCGCCCAGAACTCCGGAGGTCATCTCCGCTAACATGCAACTGTCGCGGGCCACCACCGTGTAGCTCCAACTGTGAAGAACGGTGCGAGCGGAGCTGTTGGTTGGAACCGGTTTTGAGGGGAACTAAAATGCTGGTGTTTTTTGTCTGAAATGGAAGGATTTTTCGTTGGAAAGGTGCAAAAGACCTGGAAATTGTTTTAAGTTGTGATCTGGAAATTCTGAACATGTTGTGCGGAAATTGGGGAGTATACCGTTGTATATATGTAGATATGTCCAAGGTATTGATGTATGGTAGACAATGAAGACCATAAACAATACCCAATTTCACCAACTTTGGAAAGCACTGGGCTCTGTTATAACCTTTTCAACACGTTGGGATTCTTATTGAGTTTACCGAATAAACGGGGATGCACGTCCCTTCCTACTGGGATGTGATGGTTGATACCATTAAAAAGGCCACACCTGGGTTAATCCCTCATTTCAATCATTTTGTGACAAACCCTTGAATCCACACATTGTAGGTTATACAGGTATACATGTATACATATATATATATATATACTCCCCGATCAAGAAGCCCCTTTCTTTCGGGGCATCATCTATGACACTATGACAATCTAAGCCTATCTGGTTTGTCTATCCATCTCATCGTTTTTTTTACGGATGAAAAGTTCGGAAAAATCCAGGGAGGTTGAAGCTGGAGCCATCCCTTCAGCCCCGGGGATCACCACGCCTGTCCAGAATGCCCAAGAGAACACCTTCACCCAGGACACCGCCGCTGGTGAGGCTACCTGCAGACATCGGCCAAGCAGCCGGGCTGGTGCCTGATCTGGGGACCTAAGGTTTGAACATGTGGTTGGTGGAAAATGCTGACTGCACTCACAAGATCCGTGGGGGTTTACCCAATAATGGCTATCTTGGGTATATTTATTGGGGAGATTAGCCAACAAGATCAATTGGCTGTGTCTGAAATGGGGGGTACCCCCAACTCAAGGCCATTTAATAGGGATAATGATGATCAACTATAGTAATTAATGGATTTAGGAGTACTCTGTTTTCAGACAAACCTGTGTGATGATAAGAACCGTAATTAATTGATTGATTCAGCACAATCTTGCGTTCAGGCATGGAGATGGGATGCAAGCAATGAAAGTAGGGATATATAATATATATATATATATCGGATATTTGAACAACGGTCTGAAGGGATACGAATGGATGTTGGATGCATCCGATACCAGTCGCTCCCACAACTGGCACATCAGACGGCGACCATCAGGGTCCATCCAAGTGCCAGCTTGAAATCATCCCATCTGAGTCGGCTGGGCCAGACTCTTTCCGAATAGGAACATCAATGTTTGAAACCGCAAGTTGACTTCAGCACCATCTAACAGCACCATCTAACATCTTTGTTCAAGCCAATGCATGCCACTTTAGCAAGTTAATCTTCAAATGCAGTCCTCTTGTCAGATCCTGAAAGTAGATGCCTCAAGTTCCTGCCCAACCTGACGAGACCCCACAGTGCCTATCTTCTGATCCAGGCGATATATGTCAAGGGTTCCAAAGAGCACGAAGTACCTCAAGGATACTCCAGGTGCCAACCCTAGGGAACCGTGAGGGGCATGGCTTATCATCTCAAAGACGGTTTGATCAGCCCCCTGTTTGGAAAACTCCAGGCCGCATGAATCAAATTCTGACAAAATATGCATTGTTCATATTATACGTATGTCTACTTACTAGAAAAACAATAGTGTCACATGTATGTAAAATAAAATAAAATATAATAAAATACAATAAAATATAATAAAATATTATAAAATATAATAAAATACAATATAATACAATATAATATAATATAAATACACTATATAAAATAATATATATATAATATAATATATAATATATATTATATCATATACAATATATAATATACAATATATTATAAATAATATATATATATAAGGTATAAAAAATAATATATAACATGTATTATGTATATAATAAAATATAATATATTATAATATAATATGATATAATATAATATAATATATATAATATAATATAATATGCATTTTAATATAATATAATATGAGTTAATATAATTTGATATAAAATGTAATATAATATGTAATATGATATAATATGATATAATATATTATGATATGATATATAATATTTAATATAAAATGATAATATATAATATATGATATATAATATACAAAATATAATATACAAAATATAATATATAATATAATATATAATATATTATATAATATACAAAATATATAATATGATATTTAAGATTAAAGATTTAATATATAATACATAACATGTAATATAATATATATATATACATATATTATGATGTGATATTTAATATTTAATATTTAATATTTAATATATAATATATAATATACAATATATAATATAAATATAAAGTATAATATATATAATAAAATAAAATATATAATATACAATATAAAAAAATATAACATATATAATAAAATAGAATATATAATGTATAATATGTAAGATTTAAAATATATGATAAATAATATATAATACATAATATATAATATATAATATATACTATGATATGATATAAGATGATATGAAATTATAAATTTAATTGTAAAATTTAGTAGAATAAATGTAGAATACAATTTGATGTAATATAACATCATACAATGTAATGAAATATAATGTAATATTAATATAATATATAATATTGAACATATATACATATATATACCCTCTGGTAAACTAACATAGCTATGGAAAATCACCATTTTTAATGGGAGAATCCACTATTAATGGCCATTTTCAATAGCTATGTTAAATTACCAGAGGGTATATAACACAACTCCTCACAAAAGATAGGATTGATCGGATATCCCAGCACCCTGAGAAGGTCGCATGGAGCGTGGCGCCGCATCTTCTTCCTTCACCAGAACCTACCGTGGCGCCGCAACGGGATCCCAGCGTCGGGTCTCACCGAGATAGCTAAGGTGGTTTATGTTCACCCCATGAGCTATAGTTATATGAGGTATATGATACAGAGTTATAAACCAACTTAGCAATCTTGGGGTTCCCACATTGTAGTGATTTTCCATTCCCCATCACCAATTGGTTGAGGGGTCAAGAGGGAATGATTACCATCCCAAAAATTGACATAGACCCTGGTGTCAGTCGGGGGTTGGAAAACTCAGGTCAAACTGAGCCCTCAAGAATACCCCTATCCCATCTCATTATACTAGTTGGTTCATAGGTTTCACTACGACTATGGATTAGAAGAATTCCCAATAACCCCAGTTGTATATATAACTCCTTCTAATACCCAACCAACCAGGTTATTTTTGATGGCTCAACTTTGATGGCTCAACTGTCATTTTGATGGTTACCCTCCGGTGTCCTCAAACATGGCTTGCTGGAAAATCCACCATAAATGGTTCGATGATTTTTCCATTTAACTCCCATTTCGTGCGGGGATTGTCCAGCCATGTTTGTTAATAGATATATGCTCCATTGCTACAAGTATGTTGGTATTCGGTAGATTTGTTAATGTTTGCCGCTTAGAAAGGAGACTGTTGGAGATTGACAGTAGCGCTGCACCTTGCCCGGATGCAGCAAGATCTTCCTGCGAAAGTTGTTGGATGGAACTGGAAGGGGCAGAAGGGGCGGAAGGAGCCTCACATATCAGGAATGTGTGTAGACGACATCAAATATGATACATGTTAAATATACAGTAAAAGAATATATAATTGTATAACATTATGTACATGTTACATTTTGCTACGATATAATATCACAATATTAATATATATATATATAGACCATAGAATATTGCAATATATTGCAATATTAGACAATAGTATAATAATGTATATAATGCTATATACACTGCGGTAATTCTGTATTTGGATGCAGAGGCCAGAGGTAACAGGCCAGAAAGTCAGCTCGGAAAATCATCCCAATTTCTTGGGATGGCAGATTAAATCCAAATTGCAACTGCCAACCAGAACAAACTGTTGGTTTAATGTTGCTTCATGTTGGTTCCATAGGGGACATGAAACAAGGGATGCATATTCAAATCGAAATGGAATCAGAATCTGGGAATATTGTATGTGCTGAGAAGTGTTCAGGTCAGAGATGTTCTTTCAGGAGAATTGGGACTGGGGGTTTTGCATGTTTGGGGCTTAGTCTTATAAATCAGGGTTGCTACATGATTTCTGTGCAAATCGTGAAGAAATCATGTGACTTTCTGACTGCCTTGACTCATACAATAACTCCTTGAATATCCTTGAATCACATTTTTCAGCAATTGATTCTCCTCAGTAAAATGAGGCAGTGGTTTTCATCCACCATTTTCTCTGGAGGCCACCCGGCCTGGTTGTACCAAAAAACTCATGGGAAAATCACCATTTTGAATGGCTAAATCAACATAAATCAACTATTTCTATGCCCATTTTCAATAGCTTTTTGTTAGTTTACCAGAGGCTGGCCATACCCCAAGCGCCACCTGATCTGCAACATGATCGCTTCGACGAACTCATAGCTGCACCTCAGACAAAAAGGCAACCCGGTCATTGACCACCATGGATCGTAAATCCCCAAAATCTTTGTTTAAAAAAATGATCTATATAATATGATCATAATATGATCTAGATGAATGGAATTAAATGGATATTGTGTTCATGGGGAATTGTCCATCCAATGTTGGATTATCAGAGACGATAAAAAACAGTCAAATCTGTTGTGGTGCAGAAGGCTCCACCCTCCAGATTCTCCATCCCTTCAAGATGCAGCTGTTATATATAAATGGTATCCAACATTTACCCTCTGGTAAACATACAAAAAACTATGGAAAATCACCATTGTGAATGGGAAAACCCACTATAAATGGCCATTTTCAATAGCAAACTGTTAGTTTACCAGAGGGTCTTTGGCCCACATCCCAACAAACATGCTTAGAATATCTGAAAAAATCCCCGTTCGAACGCCATGTTTTTCACCACCAGGCTGCCAGGCCCACCCGTTCGATGCAACCCCTGGGCCCCCGGAACTCATGGAAGATGGCGCTGCTGTGCACCGTCCGTTCCAAGCCAGCCAGGCCCGGGGCGTTGGGGCGGTCCAGGCCCTTGGCGGTTTGGCACGGGGATGTTGATCCCAAAGATGGTCATATGGGTATGGGTCAATACCTATAGATACATTTTAGTGTGATGAACATCCATTTACCAGCTATTTTGGGGTTCACTAGGTACCAGGGTTTTGACACACTGCCATATGACATGTTTGGCACTGGGATGCACTGGGACTCTCCTGAAAACCATCTAAAAACCATCTAAAAACCATCAGAAACTCCTGAAAAACAACCACCATTTTGGGTCTGTTTGAAGCAGCAAAACTGCGGCTCACCATTCGAAAGAAGCAACAAGCGTGGAGGGTGAGACGCATGTCTAAGTCACCAAAGGCAATAAGGGGCACAGATGGGCACAGTAGCTCACAAATGGTGATATTGATCCCCAGAGACAAGGCTATGGGCCAAACTGGCTGCCCTTGATTTGTGATTTGCCCATTAAAGGTCGCCAATTCCCATTGCCATCTTTGTTTACCAGGGGAAAATGCGCCAAATTGTGGGAACCCCGTTCATCCCCCATCTCTGCAGCACGGCCACGTGAGAACACTGCTTGCCTTTTCATGACGCACGACGTGGAAAAGATATGTGCTGCTAAAGGATCATCTATGTCATTCCTTCCACCCACGTCATGTGTCGGACGGCCAACGATCTGGTAGATCATGACAGTCCCTTCTTTCAAAGCTAGCGCTTTTGACTGGATCAGGTCAAATGTGATGTTCAAAGATGCCAAAGCTTTTCGTGGCTAGCCATTAATCCTCTGAAGTTCTTGTTGCGCAGCAAGTGGTTGCAATTGTTGCTATTGAATAAGACCTAAATTTCCACGTACCCTCCAGTAATCAAACGTGGCAATGAAAACTCCCGCAGTTGGGTCAAACCTCCATTTACAGGGACATGAAAATGCCTGAAACACAGGGCGGAGACACTCGGCCTGTGGGCAGTTGGAATGAGCCATGATAACCTACCGACTGACTTTTACCCAGTGCCGACACTTTCTCCGACACTGCTCTGACGCTGGCACCCAAGGTTCTCAGGGATGTCCAAACCATGAAACCTTGTGGTAAAATGGATAAATGGGGGGGTCTTGGAAATGGTGGATCCCCAAGTCACCATGGGTTTCAATGCTAAGTCATGGGTCTAATTTAGATGAAAAATGGCGTCGGTTTCAATCCGACATCATGCGACACCCTGAGGCGCTGCACTGGCCTCCCAAAAATGGCTGGTGTCTAGGGGATGTTGATCCCTTCTATAAAATAGATGTTGACCCCTATATCCAAAAAATAAAATAAATACATGAAACAAACAAATACCTCCAAGGGCAAGGGCATTGAACCACCAGGTCAAAAAGCCAGTGGCCATTTGGAACATCCCTGCAACGTCAGCGCGCCGCCACTGCGATGGCCCGAGCCGATGGAAGTCCCAGTTGATCAGAGCGACGAATGTTTGAATGGAATCGCCTTCCCCTTTTTTTGTCTGTTTGGGCGGGAAACCATCCAGCAATATCCTGCATACTGCTGCATACTAGACATGAGATGTATTAGTTCCATTGTGTCATACTGCTTTATCCAAGAATTCACGGACTTTTTCGGGCCAACGGTCCCACCAATTGGGACATTGGGACAGACGTTTCGAAACACGGCCACGGTCTCCATGCTAGAAAGGCCTCTCACACGTCTTCTGAGATACACACACCTGAATTTTCCATCTGGTCCGAACACGCGGGGCCTACTGTGGATGGTTGCGAAATCCTTCACCACCAAAAGGATGGTTGAAACCATATACAGTAAATAATGGGATAAACCACCTATCAACTGGTGCAGGATTTCTTCCATCCACAGTAGGACCCCAATCCTAACCGTTGATCATCATATCCCATTCTTTTCCCATTATGTTTCGAGGATGAAACGAATCGGCAGGATCCAAAAACCAAACCCAATCCAGATGGATGCAGAATGCAGAACAGCAAGAATCTTGCATGTTTTTGGGGGTCAAACTTTCAACACATCAAAAACGCCGACTTCATGGAACTTCACTGCGAGGCACCGATATGGTCCAATGTTGCCTCTCCTCTGTTGATCTGCAGCAGTTGTGATACCGGCTTCAACCGCACGTCCTCCACCGTTTTCGATGGCCACACCGGGAGTGTGGCAAAGCTGTATCATCATGGAAAACCACCTCCATGTTGCCACAAAACATGATCGTTTCATCATCCGCAAGGTTGATTCATGAAAAATGAGGTGTAGCACATTGTACAGTACCACATCAATACACATCAATACAGTCAATACACATCATATTTCTATTTCAATTAGGTTACACCGTTCATTTTTGAAATTTCGCCATGAAAAAGAAACAGAAACAAACCAGGTTTAACCAGCCACCAACACCATCCTGGGAATTCGGAGAGTCGTCGAGGGCCCGCAGCATGAGCCCAGCGAAGTGCTCCTGGCTGCGCAGATGCTGCGCCAGGGTACCATAGGTGACCCTCTCGCCACAGCCCTGGCAGCACCTGAGGGTTTTTTTGGGGTCAGCAAAGCCATGATGTTTTTCTCTGGTTTTCCATCGGAAATACAGTAGATGTCATCTCGAAATGTGTTTACCGTATGTTTTCATTGGGAAAGTCATGTTAAAGTTCAAATGGATTTAAACAAGGGGCATAAACCATGTCTTATGGGGGAAATGATCTTTAATGAGGGGTGAATAGTCTTAGAGTGGATGAATTGTATAATAAGGAATTGTTCATTGCCAGGTCAGATTGCCAGAGGCGAATGTTCTTTCTTCGCCCAACCAAGGGAGGCGGGCCTTCAAAATTCCCAAAGATGGGTGTGCAACCTCTCATCGCTTGGAAAATCAACATCCACTAACAGTGAGGAACTGGTTATACGAAGACATGCGAAGTGTTACAAAATCCATGTGTATATATAATTATGTGTATGTATATATATATATATATCCAAGTCACAAATAGGAGAACCAGTGTTGTTAGAGTGCTTGAAGGATCATCCAGTGCACATGCGGTGTGGGCCAAATGACTCAAGAATTGGCGTGGCTTCGCTGGGTCCAACTGATAGATAGAATCGATAGTGCAAGAGAGTAGATGGTAGATAGACAGACAGAGAGACAGACAGACAGACAGACAGACAGACAGACAGACAGACAGACAGACAGACAGACAGATAGATAGATAGATAGATAGATCAGCACATACGTAAATAATCCCTTCATTTGGGGGGCCATGTGGGGGCTATCTAATCTAAAGGAGATGGGATTAATAACCAACCAAAAGCTGTAGTAACCATGCAGCTATTGTTTATCAATCATATTGCTGGATAAAGCTGCATAAGACCACTATGATTGATGGTCAAGATATGTCAAAGTCTGCCTTCAAGTGACACCTCCTTCATCGCTCTTTCCACTGACAGGATCCGATGAACCTCGGCCACTTTCTCCTCCGTCGCCATCTGTTGACACCACCACATGGCCCAGGCGACCTGCTGGATATGGTGAGATGGGAATAACCATGGGGATTTGTAAAGCCTGCACATACCTTTACTAATTGTTCTTGATCCATCGGTCCATCACTTCCTATGGTGCAAATATTAAAGACCCCAAAAGATCAAGAAAACCTATGTGCCACGAAGTGTCAATAAGATCTTACTAGAACTATCTATTTTTTAAAAATTGTAAGACGTTAGTCAAAATCATTCAAAATCCATCTGTTTGGGGGATACAGGCTTTCAAGATGATTCATGAAGCCTGCAAAAACGCGAGGGGCCAAGAAACAACCATTTTATGATTTCATTGGACAACATCGGACAACTATGTGCCAAATGTCTGATGTAACCAGCGAGGTTAACATCTGGGAGGTGAAGATGGACTGGTTGACCTTCTGCGAGGAACTTTCATCGATAATACTCCGGGGCTTGGTCTGGAAATCACTGATATGGCAATGGCTCAAGATTGGGGCAGGTCATGCTTTTGGTCATGTTGTACTTAACATGATTCAACCATCCATACTAAACTAAGGGTTGATTTTACGGCAAGGATGTTATCATGACTGCCTTGTTCCTTATTTTTTAGCCATGTCCATTGGATTCAGTGGCTGATCCGGGACACCCCCTTCAGCCTTCTGCACCGCAGCACCGCTCCGATCCGGCTTAGCTTGGCCCATCGCTGCCCAAGTGCCCGGATGCGCCGCAACTGACACGGTCCCATACTCCGACTGAAGATCTTCAGCAGCCGATGGCAGACCCCAACCAGCTGGTGGTTCCATCTTCAGCGATGCTGGTGGATGGCGAAATGTCGCAGTTTGCTGCGTCCATAGCTGCTGTGGATTAGTACGAGCTGCTGGTGCCCTGGGCTCAGCTGGGCAAGTCCATGGCGGCTGTGGGTTGGCGTATGCTGATGCCCTGGGCTCAGCTTGCGGTCGTTGGTTGGCCTTTGCTTCTAGTTTTTTGAGCTTTTCGATGGTGCCATCCAGCTCATTGAAACGGATCACAACATCCTGGGGGAGCTCGTAGGTGTTCCACAATTCTTCGCGGACATCAGCCACTCTCGCGCCATCTTTGATGTACTGGTTCATCAGCTTTACAAAGTGTGCGGGGCCTGCAATGTGCTCGGAGAATCGGTGGTGACTTCCTGGGCCTGGGATTGGCTATGGCGCAACATTGCGCCACATGGCGCCACCCAATGAGGAAAGGATACTGACCATTGGGTTTTTTCGCGAGCTTGCGGGTTCGTAGGGAATAAGGTCTGCCGAAATGCATAAGACTGAACCAGGTGGACCAGCAGAACAATAAGAATGTCCAGTTTCAATCCGGCCTTGGAAAGAATATTCGTGACACTTTTGGTAAAGATCTTTACGCAGTCTGTAAAACTTTAAGCCCGACAAACTCCGACGAACTTAACCTTGCGCGCAAAGATGTCCAAACATTTCCTACGTGTGTTTTGACGTTTTCGCCCCTAAAACGCATGCAAAAACAGCACGCAGAAAGTAAAATCGCATTTTTATAACCAGTTTTTCCACTTTGGCAACAACATTTTCACGTAGCAAATTCGGCCCCGACGAACCCCGACGAACTCCGACGAACTCCGGCGAACTCCGTTCCTGGGTCATCTCAGAAATTTGATTTCTATTTCTTTCCTGATTAGTTTTAACCTACCACAAAGCGACACACAGCGCCTGAATGCCAAAGTTCCTTCCCAGCTGCTACCAACAAGGACGGGGTCAGGGTCATACCTTGTGTTCTAGAAATCCCTTATTCCCAACGAACCACGTTGCTCGCGAAAAAAGCCACTGACCATGAATATGATTCTCCAATTCTCAAAAGACGTCGTGCTGTTTCTGCATGAAGTTTCTCATTCAAACTGGAAGAATCAATGTGTACTTAAAACTGTTCGGTGGTTTCAACATGTGTCCACTTATCCCAAAATATGAAGTCAGTTGGATCATCATCCCATTTCTAACCAATCAGAATCAGAAAGAAGTCACCACAACTTCGGTCGAGCCTCCACAGGCTCGGCAGTAGGGATGGGCTCCAAAGGGTGACAGTATCTCTTCCATTTTGTGTCCCCTGGGCTTCATATGTTCGGAAAAAGTCTTCTTCGATCTCAAGTGTGCGAAGCTCTTCCAGTCCGCATGTGGATTCCTAGGAGCAAAACAAAAAATGACAGCAGCAGAGAAGTTGGATGAAATGATACGACAAAGTCTAATAGTCTGTGAAGCTTCACACTATATAATCAATTGTTTGAGAATATTGTTTAGAGATGATTTCATCATTGGCTTCCAGACTCTTGTGACACAGCTCATGGTTGCTTCTTGAAAAACCTCCGAGCCGCAAAGAAGCAGCTAAGAAAACGGCACTGGGATGTGTTTCTGCTGAAAGTCGTCAATAATGAAGGTCGAGTATGAAACGAACTCAACAATCGTGAATTATCATGAGAAATGTAGTATATACTGTAATTGGTACCCATGAGCACCCAACATCTGCTGTACCAACCTTGGGAGGGAAAAGAAGCTTTCCGGCACAGCCACCATTGGGTTTGCCTGAAAGTAGGGTACCCAAACAATATAGAAAATCATGTTGCCCACCGTTTCCCGACCATATGACTTTTAAATTGGGGCGTCCCGCATTTTTGGACAATTTTCTATCACCACCACCAAATATTCCTGCGAGTATCGACGACAGACTTAACGGAGGAGCTATCACGTCCCATTCGGACGCCGGATCCTGCAGAAAGGTAGACTTATCACTTTCATATCTTTCATGGCAAACAGTAAGCCACAAACTTACCAAACACAGGTTGACATGGTTGACCCAGAAACCAAGGAATGCTACCCTGTTGGGTGGTTTCAACCGATCCCAACACAGTCACTCATCCGGGGGATGGAAATACCTGCGAGCATTTGGTGCCAGCAATTTAGGGTCGGAATGGTTTGCATCATGTGTTGGTTGCATCCCGGCCACGCATCGGCAAAATACGGTTAAAATACGGTTATGCATATATATATATAATATATATATATATATCCCTTTGTTAACGGTTCTTGTTTGTACACTTGCCCAAGTACCCTTGATGGTAGCCCCAACAAAGATAGCCAGCCAGAAATGACGGGGAATTGCCAGCCAGAAGTGGCAACTTCTTCCTTCAAAATCCATTGGTTATAACGGTTATGCCCATCCTGCCGAAATCATTAGTGGATTCCTCTGAAATATGAAATAGGGTACCCCACAAATCCGTGCAAATCGAGTGTTGACCCACCATTTTCCCATATTTTCCCGATGAAAAGAACCACTTTGGATGTAATGTGGTACATCCCCAATTTCACCAGAAATTGGTGGTACAAACATGTACAAACCACAAACATCTACAAACCCTCCAAAGTTGGATGTTTACGATTGGGTTTACAGTAGCATATCACACCATTCTATCCTGTTCTTCGCCGCCAAAGTTTTGAGGTCCAGGGCAGCCTCCTTTCCCTATGGGTAGTGCCGCTTCCGGCGCCGGAAGCGGCGCACCTGGATGGGTGTGAAAGAGCATGTTTCTGTTGGGATCTTTCAAAAAAATTCATGGTACGGCAGTTTTTGAGTTCTTGGGCCCCAAAAAATTGGAAGGCTTATTGCTGAATGGTGCGAACAATCTCTGGGTGTTTCGACTCAAACTGTTTGAAATCTTGAAGCCAAGGCAGAGTTTCCCGCTGCTTGAGTCATTGTTCTGTCCACAATTTTCAGAAACATGCAAAACAAAACAAATGCAGATGAAAGCGACCCCACCATTTGTATGAACCTCTTTCCCGGCACAAGAACTGCCAAATTTACTTGAAGGGAAGGTTACTTGACTTGACTTTAGATTTGCTTCATTTGGAAGGGGAAATCAACGAACTGATGTTATATCCAGAAAAAACCTCGGGGGTCCAGGATCTTTTGCTTATTAAAATAAAAACCAATTGATCATTTTGCTATATTTTGCTCATTCCTCTGCTTCCTATTGAAACGGACAACCAGCCTGAATCTAAAACCTGCTCTGGAATCCCACGCAATTGTCCAAAAATCATTTTTCAAAAAAACATACTCTCAAATATGGTCTCCTCTTCCCCACAACTGCACCCCTAAACCGCCTGGCTGAGCATCACCCTTACTGACTTGCAGCTCCCCTGTGAGTTCGTTGAAGCGCAGCCAGCCATGGCAGATTTGCCAGTAGTTCCAGTGCTGCTGCTTCAACTTCTCGATGGGGACACCATCGGGCAGCAGTGGGTGGAGCTTCGACCAGTGCTTGGGGCCACCCAAATGCTCACCGTAGTCAGCCCAAGTTTGGCCTTGGAGGATGGGCTGATGAGGGGAAGCGCAGGGTTCCCTATGTCTCGGAGTTCCCTTAAATTGGGGTCAAAACGCGGTGAAATATAACGAAGCCAAACATGAACCACTCAACTGACTGAGAAGCAACATGCGGCTTCTTTGGTTCTATAAAAAGTTTTGCTGGTTGAATGAATCTCGACTTTTTTGTCTTGATCGAATACCCCCATTTGGTGCAGTAAACCCCAAGGGGTTGTTGCTTCAACCCCTGACTTGATGATTGTGCTTATTGGTTTTTCACCACTTGGGGGCTGTCTCAAAACTTGAACCCCCATTCCATTCCATAGTTTAAAACAGCAATTTCCCATTAAAACTGCCATATTTTTGAAACTGGTCAATCCCTCATTTTGAGACAAAACCGCAATCACTATCGTATTTCTTATTGTTGGTTATATCCCCTACATGTGTACGTATGTAGGTATGTAGGTATGTATGTATGTATGTAGGTATGTACGTATGTAGGTATGTAGGTATGTAGGTATGTACGTATGTAGGTATGTAGGTATGTAGGTATGTAGGTATGTAGGTATGTAGGTATGTACGTATGTACGTATGTACGTATGTACGTATGTACGTATGTAGGTAGGTAGGTATGTATGTATGTATGTATAATACGTATATGTATATGTGTATGTGTATGTCTATGTCTATGTCTATGTATATGTCTATGTATATATATGTATATGTCTATGTATGTGTATGTATGTCTATGTCTATGTCTATGTATAAGTATAAGTATAAGTATACAGTAAGTATACAGTAAGTATAAGTATAAGTATAAGTATAGGTATAAGTATAAGTATAAGTATAAGTATAAGTATAAGATAGTATAAGCAGAAGTATAAGTATAACCCGGTTCCCGGTAACCCCCCCTCCAACCAATGGTATGGTACCCCCCCTTCCCCAAAAAAATCTCCCATTTGCATGCTATTTTCAGGATTTCAGAGTGCATGCTATTTGCAGCATTTCAGAGCCACAACCTTCCACTTGCAACCTATTTGCAGCATTTAAGAGCCCTATACTTCCTGCAAAATACCTCAGTACTACTTATGTACTAGCTGCATGCTGTCTACATGTTACCTATATACATCTATTTATCCCCACCTGCCAGGTGAGGGTTGTTAGATTTTATCAGAGCTGTTCTCCTCCTCCTCCATCTCCTCCTCGTCCTCCTCCTCGCAGTCCAGATCCCAGTGGGCACAGCCGGACCTCCACCGCGAGCTCCAGATCCCAGTAGGCACTGCCGGACCTCCACCGCGAGCTCCAGATCCCAGTGGGCACTGCCGGACCTCCACCGCGAGTTCCAGATCTCAGTGGGCACTGCCGGACCTCAACCGCGACTTCCAGGTTGCAGTGGGCACTGCCGGACCTCAACCGCGATTTCCAGATCGCAGTGGGCACTGCCGGACCTCAACCGCGACTTCCAGATCGCAGTGGGCACTGCCGGACCTCAACGGGAAGAATGTCAGAAAATATGCCAGATAGAATGTCAGAAGATATGCCAGATAGAATGCCAGAAAGAATGTCAGAAAGAATGTCAGAAGATATGCCAGACAGAATGTCAGAAGATATGCCAGAAAGAATGTCAGAAGATATGCCAGATAGAATGTCAGAAGATATGCCAGATAGAATGCCAGAAGATATGTCAGAATATATGTTAGAAGATATGCCAGATAGAATGTCAGATAGAATGCCAGAAGATATGTCAGATAGAATGCCAGAAGATATGTCAGAATATATGTTAGAAGATATGCCAGATAGAATGTCAGATAGAATGCCAGAAGATATGTCAGATAGAATGCCAGAAGATATGCCAGATAGAATGCCAGAAGATTTGCCAAACAAAATGTCAGAAGATATGTCAGATAGAATGCCAGAAGATTTGCCAGTAAGAAAATGTATAAATGTCATGGTGGGGGTCATTCGAAGTGAAGTAATTTCTTCTCCAGTTAGACATACATACGACCAGCAGCGTATCTATACACTACTCATATGCAATCCTACTTTACGTTTATATCTTACCCATTGCATGCCTGTATGCAACCTATCATAGCAAACCTATATACTGTTGTATACTACAGTACCATATGCTACTACCTCTGCCCTACTCATCTACGACTGATAAGCTGCATCAACCCCCCACCCCCCACACCACAGGGCAGGGGGCAACCACATACACTGCCTAGATACCTCATACTAATGATGAATGCGTGCTGGTATGTGTGTACATAATTGTATATGTATATCTATGTATAGTACCTACATATTCTATATACTTGCTACCCATAATTCTATATACTCTACATATGTACTACCTACACGCTGCCTGTCTACCTATACAACACGGTTACAAGTAGATAGACACTACCTATGTACTACATACATACTACCATGTAGCACCTATGTACCACTTGTTTGGATGCACCAGCTAGTATATATTCCCCATACAGCATATGCAACCCCCTTTCCACCACAACCCACACCCACAGGGGGTTGACCTGGAACATATATTATGTATATATAACATAATATAATATAATATAATGTTAATATAATATAATAAATATTATATCAATATAATATAATATACTATAATATATATATATATGTACACATCCCCACAAATTGGTTGGTTTAATTACCCATCAAAGATCCCCATGATCTTGTGTCATCCCCGTTTCGATGATCCTTGCGTCCAATGGCATAAGGTGCACAGCGGTTCTGGAGCACATGATGAAGGGGTCAGCTTCTCCTCACCAACTGCATGAGAGTCAGTTGGGATTACCCACTGTATAACACCACATGAACAGATAGACATCCATCACAACAGCCATTTTGATGTGATGGGACGGGTCAGTAGCTGCGCATTTCACCAGCGAGAAGATTGTGTTTGTGAATTGGGATAGGTCATGCAATCTATGTTTCTACCTAACTTAGGGGTAATGAACATCTATTTGCCAACTATGTTGCTCTCTTTGTGACGTGATAGCATGGGTCAGTTGTAGCTACAAAATATCAGGATTTCACCACGAACATTTCTGTGGATTTTCTGTGGCCAGCAAATCATTTCTGTGTCGGGCCCCGAAGTTAAGCCAGAAAAATATGAAAGTCAATTGTAAAAGGAAAAGCAACATGAAGGGACCACCCTAATCTGTCAGAAGCAAGCAAAGGAATTGTGGAATTAGGATGAATTAGGTATATTATGGTATATTCATGAAGATCATGATTGGGCGCTGCAAAGTGGGATTTTCATTGCCGTACCTGCGTGGATCCATGCACGCCATCGATGGGTTGGTCAGATCGCCATGGTTCATTCGGATTCACAAAGCTGAAATAAGGCCATCTTTGGGTCGTTCCCCTAGCCCTTCTATCATTTACGGCCTCACAGTAGACTGGTGTTCTCAACCAACGGCCTCAATTCTCCAGGAGAAACTGTCCTCTTGGAAGCCAAGATCTGGGTCATTTGGAGGTCAAAGATCTAGCCCTGAAAATCCTGTGCTTTAGCTGAAAAAAACATCATCTTCTCCATTAACATCATTGGGGCGGATGCCCCATTTTCAGACAAGCCAATAGTTTTAATGCTCAGCTCTCAAGGGAGTCATGCCAATTTCAACTGGGCCACCAGCAGCTTTACCACTTCTTTAGCCCTTGGCATGATCTTCTCCTGCAGGGCCGGAGAAAAAAGCAGCTGGCATCTGGTATTTTAAACCCCTATTGATTGGTTGCGATATATGATAGTTACATCCAATCAGCACATTACCAACAACTAGTCATATGTTCCGTAGTGATTAAGGATGATTAAGGTAGTATCAACCCAGTTGCCCACTTCGAACTATATTTCGAGGGTTGGACGGTCACTTTTGATGGCAGTACCACACCAACTCGGAGAAAGGCTGGCAGCCAAGTCGAGCCTTGCTATTTTTTGCCAGATTCAGATCATTCAAGACCTATGTATCTGATCTGTATATATATAATATAATATTATTTATATATATATATACATATATATATATACATATATATATATATGTATATATTACTAATATATGTAATCTGTGTTTGTTCTGAGTTCACGAGATCGACCCAACTCAATACATCTTCAGCTCAGGGTGCAAAAAGAGGGCGGTAGAATCAAATACCCGCAAAATGACCAAAATGACTCAATATATGATTGGGGGATGTGATTGACCCATATTGACCCAATATATGTTGGTATCAACTTGGGTTCAATCTGCAGTGTACTAAGCTCCTTTTTGCCTCTTTGCGGCGGTGACCCAAATGGCACGAAGCTTGGAGTGATCCCAAAGTATCTCGTCCAATGTAGGAATCCCTATCAACCGACCTCTTATCGATTTATGGCCACCTGTTTACCCAATTTCTGCTCTGGTATTTGGGGTGTTGGAAGCATCCCCGAGGAGGAAGGGTTTCAGCCCTCGTGCAGGAATGCTGGTTTTAAGATGTTTTAAGCCGCTGCATCAAATGCATATCATTGGTGCTTAAATCACCATTGAATACCAGTTTCCGCCCGAAGCTTTTGGCAGCTTTAAGTTCCTTAGAAAAAAAGACCGAAACTTGGGACTTCCGAGGCCTATTTCAGTCGATTGTAGGCATGTATCAAGGCATCGCAGCCAGATGTCTGAAATCCTAGGCCTGCAGTTATGATCACTTATGACCCTTTACCAGTCATAAGTCAGTTATAACCCCATTTATGGCATGTACTTGTTCATTGCATAATCCCATTTTTATTTATAAATTATCACCATAGTTGACCATATTTATCATGAGTGATTTATAACATTTTATGACCATATCTATTATTAGTAAAGGCCCATGAAGTTGCCATAACTGTAGCCCCTCCCAACGCTTCGAGGCCGCTCCTTGAAGGCCCTCTTGCTGGCCAGGTGCGCAAAGGTTGTCCAGTCGCCATGCTCTCTTGTGCCCAGGCTCAGGGGCCCCTGAACGGCCTTGGGCAAGAAATTGATGTGCTGGGAAGGTGCTGGGAAAATGTGAAAACCACGAAAAATGGAGAGAATATGGAGCAACAACATGAAAAATTGTAAAAAACTTGGCAAAGTTAGAAAAGGTGAGATGAAATCCATAAAAATCCTATGGGTTTCTTGAAACTTGATGTGGATCTAGAGACTTTTTCCGTGGTGAATGTGTGGATGGTCAGAGTTCTGGCGATGATACCCGCTGTGAAATCACTACATAGACATAGGCTTGGTGATGGAAGTTCCAACACCATTCATTTTTAGTGTCCACCAATTTACCAATTTGGATCAATTTGGGACATAGCCATTCTTCCAGTCAAAATCAGCCAAGCTTCAAACCAGGTTTCTTCCAGTTGTAGTGCCGAAGGATCCAAATCTATCTCTCCCATGCGAACAGATCCGGCCACTGCTTCCGCAAGCAATCGAATCTGCCCATGTCTGAGCTTGGGCCAGGCGTCAGCTAGTGGCTTTAGGAAGAAATATAAGAAATGACACGCGCTAAGAGGAGGTCGTATGCTTAGCATCTGATATGATCTGATATGATCTGATATCATCTGATATGATGTGGCTGGCTGGGTTGCTGGTTTCTCAAAATGGGATACCTGTCCCAAAAGAATCAACCGAAGTAATCCATGCTGGAAAAGTCAAGCCATGTTGCACACAATGTCACGTGTCCGTGGATGACTGCAGGAGCAATTCTGCATGCATGGCTACAATCGGAGCCTCCATGGCTGCAGAAATGATCTGCTTGGGATACAGTAATTGGCTCGGACTGATCTCCCTTTATTCCTCACATTCCCATCATTCGAATCAAGATTTTTCAGTCACACATCTACCGCTGGGTCTAGCCATGCTGCCTTCAAAATTGGATGTGTCCAAGAATGTCCAAGAATCCAAAGAGATTGAACAGCCTTGCAGAATCTCTTGGAGGTGCGTTCATCCAATCCTTTTAAGCGCTGGTAATTTCACATACTTTGAAAAGATGATGTTCCATGACCGTGTTCAATTACCAGAGGGTGCAGGTGTTTGTTCCGCGTTTGCTGATTCCATTTCCAGGCTTAAAACCCGATTTTGCCAAGTTCGCTGCTCTTAAATCGCAATTCTGTGAAGCCCAATCCCCATTTTACCTCGTTACAGAAAATTGAAAAAACAAAGTATTACGTCTCTCATTTTTCTGCAATCCAAATAGTATCCATCAATAGCATTCAATAGCTATCCATCAATGGAAGAATCTCCAAACGTGGCCTATCAATGGCTGCATTTCAGGAGACTCTGACATCCAAGCACCGCACCTCAGACTCCTCGGTCGGTGATGGCATACCTGGCAAACATCACTGAAAATGGGAAGATCTTTGAAAAATCCATGATTTGTTCTTTGTAAGTGAAAATTTGATGAAATTTAGGTCCATTGAAAGTATCATTAAATATACATCTATAATATAAGATATATGTATGCATACATATATATATATACATATATATATATATATACACGTATACATACATACATACATACATACATACAATACATACATACATACATACATACATACATACATACATACATACATACATACAAACTAACATAACATAACATAACATAACATAACATAACATACATAACAGACATACCCTACATACCATACATTACATTACATTACATTACATTACATTACATTACATACATACATACATACATACCATACCATACCATACCATACCATACCACTACATTACATTACATTACATACATATACATACATATACATAAATATACATACATATACATAACATACATAACATACATAACATACATAACATACATAACATACATTGCATACATTCCATACATTACATACATTACATACATTACATACATACATACATTACATACAGTACATACATGACATACATGACATACATTACATACATTACATACATTACATACATTACATATATACATATATACATACATACATACATACATACATACATACATACATACATTACATACATTACATACATTACATACATTACATACATACATACATTACATACAGTACATACATGACATACATGACATACATTACATACATTACATACATTACATACATTACATATATACATATATACATACATACATACATACATACATACATACATACATACATATATACATACATACATACATACATACATACATAACATCACATTACATTACATAACATTACATTACATAACATTACATTACATAACATTACAAAACATTACATAACATTACATAACATTACGTAACATTACATAACATTAAATAACATTACATAACAGTACATAACATTACATAACATTACATTACATAACATTACATAACATTACATTACAGTACATTAATACATACATACATTAGATTACATTACATTACATCACTTCATTACATTACATTACATACCATACCATACCATACCATACCATGCCATTGCATTGCATTGCATTACATTACATACATACATACATTACATACATACATCATCTCTTTCTTGGTGCTTCCCACCCTTCCACGACCTTCCCCATCCCCCCGGCCGGCCTCTCAAGCTCCAGCACACCGATGCTAGCGGTCTTCGCCCGCATCAGTAGTACTCGGCTAAAACAACAACAGGTTGAGATCGTCAAGGGTGGATAGCTACCTCAATACGGCTTGGGACCCTCTGGACGCGGCCGACCTTTGAAGATTCACGTGGTCAACAATGGCATGCCATGTTCGTATCCATCCATCCCAAAAATATGATAAAATATGAAAGTCAAGTGGGATCGGGATGATCATTTTTTGCAGGGGAAAGAAAATAAAAATGCGTTGCTTCCACAAGCAGGGTGTACTTCATCGGGCCGCTTCTACGTTGTGACACCGCCACAGTTCATGTGGCGCACTAAGCTGAGCAAACCATCCGCGGGCGAGGATTTGCGCTGGAAAACCCGTACCATGTGCTTGGTGCTTCAACTTCTCTGGAAGATGAATCTATATAGATATATACATATGTACATTATACATAATAATATATATATATGCAAATATACAGTGAAACGACAGTGTGTATGTGTATATATATACATACATGTGTATATACACGCACCTTGTCACTATCTATATACTGACATTTGAACCCACCAACCATATGCAATGACATGTGTGCTGGCATCAACCCAAAGGGTTGCGGTCTGAGCGGTGGAATTACCATCGCAAAGCCGATGAGCATCAGCACTAGAAACAGTCCCGCTTGCGATACCTGGCTGTCAGAAAATGGAAAGCTGGAAGACAGGTGCGCAGTGGTAAATTTGGGACCCCCAGTTTCTGGCTGTGGATGATTTTGAAGTAAAATGGTTGTTATATATCCATTTGATGGGGATGATATAACGGTTATAAGTTATAATGGTTATAATGGTTATATCACAGAGTGTGTCTAAAAAATGGGTTACACTGCCCAATTATGGCTGTTTCAAGAGGGGCGATGATTGATCCAGTGGATGGAATGGGATACCCATCCTTCAAGTTTCAAGGGCCCGAAAGTATGATCCGAAATTCGGTAGCCCTATGTATACCGTATCAAATCTTTTTTGGCAAAGCCATCTACTCAGTTCTACTCTCAGCTGCTCAACTAATATTCATGGATCGAAGTGGATCAACAAACCCTGCAGGATGCCGTGACTTTTGTGACTGCCGCGAACCAAGGTGCAGAACACGGTCCAGAAAAAGTGCCCTTAAAAAGATCAATGCGATCAACAAATATCAAAAACACGTATGGCAGCCCCAAAATAGATACAGTAGAAAAGTTGGAAACCAGGCAATTCTGGTGCTAAAGATCACCTGTACATATCTGTACCATCCTGGATCCTGTTCTATCCTTTTTGGGGACCCCTGTAAACTGAAAATGTGCCAAAACCAGCCTTGAGGAAGACCATGAAGGTGAGAAAAAGGATCTCTGAATGCCTCCAAGTCATGGATCGCTTGGATCTACTTTGGATATAACGAGATTCATAATGAGGATATGAATGGATATGATATAACAAATGGGGATGTCTGGATGTCTGGATAGAAAGAAATAATTTGCCGACCTGAGATTTACGCCAAAAAAGAATCCAGATAATGCCACATGTAGGTAGATATCTACTAGATACATGGATGGAAACTTGTGGACTTGGTGTTGAAGCTTTTGGTAGGAACCAGCGGAAGTTTCTCTACAGCAACGGACATGTCTGTGGATTCCACAAGCCCAGACTTCACGGAGCACTTCACGGTGTGTTTCAGATGCCATACGCTACCAGCTCGGGATGTTGTAGGTAAGCTCTTATTTATGAAGAAACAAGTATGTCAGTTGTATACAATTTACACTGGTGTGTGCAAAACCCTGGTGTCTTGCTGAAGATTAAACAAATTACCATGATAGAGTATGCTGCGCTCTTCAGATTGGACCTCCCTGTACGGTAAATATGTGATTCAACGTGTGCGTATGTGCAGGGGCTTGTGCAACCCTCAGTATTTCTTAAGTTTACATTGGAGGTTGCGGTACCTTTGTGGTACTTTCTTATATCAAATAAGCCTCAGCCATAGTCCATGTTTTTGCTTTGGTGAGTTACCTGATGCGTTGTTTTCCAATACATGCATAATCCCTTCTTCCTATTACTTAAACTCACCCAAATAAAAAAAATGGATTGGTTTGGCACTTACGGTTTTCTTGGGTTGGTTACAATTGGATTCTTAATTGTGGTAATTGAGAATCAAGAGGAGAACAGGATGGTGAAACAATGGGTTCCCCTATTAATAAAAATAAAATGGTACCTGGATGTTTTTTATTAGGGTCCCATCTCACAAGTTTTACTCTTTACTTGATTATCAAGGTTAATTGGAATATTAGGGGAAAGCCTCGAAATCCAGTTTTTGGCATTATTTTATATAGATTTTAAAAAGGGATTAAATCAAATTTGAAATCGAGTTTCTTTATTTGGTTTTCATTGGAATATTTTGGCTAGCCTAATACAAAATACCCCCTAATAATCCCTAATATAAAAATAGATCATTTGGGGGGGCGTGTTTTAGTAATAGGGAGAAGGGATTACCATACTTGGTGGTTCATCCCACCTACAGCAGTAAGTAACCCAAATTATAAATGGGATAAGAAAAGTTAATCCACTTATAACTGGGGTTATAACCCACTTACTAGGTGGGATGAGCCACCCACCAAGTACCCCGATGTTTTTGAGCTTCAGAAAACACCAAGTAATCCCCAGCAGGGCTCTTTCGCCTCGCCACCTTGCAAATGCGCATCACTCTGAAGACCCGCACCTCGTTGATGGAGAATTTGGGGGGTATCAGGAAGGGTAAGGCCCCCATGAACCA